AACGTTTGAGTACCCTTCCTTCGCGTCGTGTAAGTTTCCTTTAACGTTACTTTTCCCTTCCTCGCGTCGTTAGGGGGACTTCCCATCCTGACATGTTATGGAATTCCCTTCCTCACGATCGTTATGGGAATTCCCACCCTCGCGTCGCTATAGGACTTAATCTGATGTTTTTCTTTTCCATCACTCCCGATTTTTACGACAATGAAGCAAATAACTCGGATTAGCATGATTTTTGTGTAATTGTCTTAATTAAATTTGAAACAGCCTACCTATTGAATTCGAAATTTAGATGATGTTATCATTAGATTATTAAAAGTGGCTATCGACAGTATAGAGGTATCATAATAAATATCTGTCTTAAGGGGATTGGTCTACAATGGGCATATAATTCATAAGTATTTCAAATATTGATAAAACTGTGGAAATGTATCATTTGGATAGATATTCTTATCAAAAATTTCTTTACAAAATGTTCTAAAGTGGTTTAGTTTGGACACTTATATCATGAATGATAATATTTTGTTCTTGAACAACATCCACATACAATTTATTTTCTTGGTATGTTATCACATATGTTACTATAAATACTATCACATTTTTATAACGTTCCATTATGGAACTATTCACTTAATCACACTGGATCACAGAGAGACATATATTCCTGTAAACTGTGAAATACAGATTAAAATCATTTTTAATTTATATAATTCACCATGTCTGATCTATATATACTATAGGTTAATATTGTCATCTCGTGCATACAGAATCATCATTCAATTCACACCGTTTGAAATCAAAAAGCATGCACATTAAAAATTACCATGTGGGAATTATATTATTTAGAGTATAATTATGTCTAGCATAGATCATTTAATTTGGAATTATTTCAATTGAATTTAAATCTACGAGTGTCCACAGATATCAGACTAGCTCATGGCGTAATTAAACAAAACGTAGTGAACGATTATAACTTTACTGTGGATAAAAGTTTAATCTGATTTTTCGTCTTCTTTTTTGCCCTATATTTTTGCGAGCTGGAGAACATATCTCATATGATTTATGTAATGTGTACACATACTCGGAGACCTACCTTATGGGTTGTTTTGGTTTGTTTTGGTTTACGGCGGGCCAAACACAGACCTACCATATAAATCATCAAAATATTAAAGGGACTCCACTGAGGTTTTTTGACATGATGGGACGGATTTTTTTTTTTCAGATAAATGTACCATTTGATGTAGGTTTAGACCACTAATCTTTGTTCAAAATTTCAGGTTATTCGCGCACTTCGTATTTTCAGAATAACTATTCAAATTATAAAAAATGACCCAAAATGAAAAGCGTTTAAAACGCTTTTCACTCAAATTGGGCTAGGAAACGCATAACGATTTTCAATTTATTTCAAAGTATTTTCTTAACTATTTTTGTATATATTTCTGTTTAAAGTGCCCAACTCATCTATGTAAGAAATTCAAATGTTATGTTTTTTAGGCTTTTAAACCTAAGTGGAGTCACTTTAAGACTGCAAAAATTGGTCGACCAGAAATATTACCCATTTTTTGCAACTCAACTATTCTTCCTTTATTAGGTTACATTTGAATGACACTGATATTTTACTGTCAAGGTCATTTGGAAACTTTCAAAAATATCACCCTAGCTCATGAACCTGACCGTTCATTATTTCATACATTTGCATGTATCCACAGGCGCTAGTCACATAATCAAATATTTAACATAACCGGTCTATATATCTATCTTTATATACATATATAGACGGGTTATGTAAAATATTGTTGATTATGTGACTAGCGCCTGTGCATGTATCTTAGTACAACACAAGCAATGTCAAATTTTCTACTTGTAACATGAATACGAAAACAACAATGGTTCTAGCTGGCGGAGAGCTTCGTATCCTGAGAATAGGAAAAGCCTATTTTTCATGGACTGTCTGTCTTTCATTATTATATAGATCTCTAATACTATTCATATCATTTATGTCTATTAATTATTAATGTAAACATATCAATGTTGTCTACATATCAGTAATTTCTAAATACAATTTTTATTATAAATGCTACTTAGGATTTCATTACAGTCTAACCTGGTTAACATATCATATTTATGTACATATCATTTAATGGCTTGAATAGATGTGTCAAAGGTCATCAGAATTTGCTGAATTATTTATTGCTTAGTACTAGTTGGTTAAAGGAATGGATTCGAGAGTGTTTCAATAAGTTAATATCTTACAACACAATTGAACTAAAATTAATTAGTATAAACCAAACCAATTTGCTGAATTATATCTGGATTACTGCATGATGAAGATTCAATTAATAAGCCCCGTATTGATAAGTTACCCAGATCATAAAATCAATAAAATAATTAATAACTTTATCATCATCATTTTTATCAATAATATTTAAATCATTTATTATAATTATCATGTTGGCAGTTTATGATTATAAATACCATAAATTTATCATTTTTAACATCATTTCGATTTCGATACGATTTTCATATTGTGGATGACAACCGGTATGCCTAAAATACGAAAGTGAGATTTTTGACGAAAGTGAGCGAAAGTGAGCGAAAGTGACTTTTAAAATAGTAATTATAACATTTTAATAGACTTTTTAAACAAACTTGCAGTTTGTAGACATATATTATTAGAAAATAATTATATTTATTAACAGAAATAATCATAATGATGATTTAATCGCCACTAATTTGCATAATTTCTATACACAAGTTTATATCTTCCTTTCGCTCACATTGACAAATACGAAAGTGACTTATAAAATATTAAATATTCTGTTTAAATTGAATTTTTACTAAAATTAAAATTTGTAGATGTATATTATCAGAGATTGATGATATCTATTTTCAAAAATAATCATTATGATGATTTAATCGCTATTTATTTGCATTATTTCTATACACAAGTCAGAGATCTTCCTTTCGCTCACATTGAAAAAATACGAAAGTGACTTCACAAATATCAAATATAGCGATTAATTTAAATCTATATTAATTTAACAGTTTGTAGACATATAGTTTTGGAATTTGATAATATCTATTTTTAAAAATAATCATAATGATGATTTAATCGCTATTTATTTGAATAATTTCTATACACAACTACATAGATCTTCCTTTCGCTCACATTTAAAAATACGAAAGTGACTTTAATATGAAACATTAAATATGCCGTTTAATTTGAATGTATATTAATATAACAGTTTGTAGACGCATAGTTTTAGAAATGAATAAAAATACTTAAAAATCATTATGAGGTTTTAATATGCATGCATTTTCATTATTTCTATATACCACTTTCAGAGATCTTTCTTTCGCTCACTTTTGTATTTTTGTGGATGACAACGATTGTAACATAAACATTATTCGTAAATATTATATTTGCAAAATGGCGACCTGTAATACGGAAGACAGTGTTGATTTACTTGCTTTTGTTGAGGATGCTGGTGGTGGAGGGACATCTCTATGGGACCCTGGTTTAAGCAGTGATTGGGATCAAGAGAAACCATCAAATCAGTGTATCCTCAGAATTAAACGGTCTGTAGCCATGAACAATTTTCACTTTCGTTTTATCACGTCAGTCTCTGACTCATAATTTTCATGGTTATGTTCACTAAATTCGCGTTATCATTAATTTCATGGTCACATTTTTTTGCATCTCACATAATATTCCTTGGTGAAAAATGTCTAAACGTTAACTTTACCCTTCTGTGTTTCAATTTTTGTCTGGAAAAAAAAACAACAACAAAAAAATTAAAACACACACAACTGTTATTCAAAATAATTATGAAATTGGAAGTAGCCAAAAGTTCTAGCCGTATGTGAGTCACGTACGACTAGCCGGACACACTGTATAGGCTAGCCATATATGGCACTTTTCAAAAATTATATGGAAGTCGAAAAATGCATAAGTGATTGTGTCTTTAAATCAAGTCTCCGCATTTGTCCTAGTGTATTCACTTTAATAAAGATGCTCTGCCATTTTGTAAAAAAAAAAGTGAATATGAACAAGCGTTGTATAATCTGTCTTTGATAAAAGTGTCAAAGTTGCATGTTATAAGTTATAATGTCCTTGATTTTCATGCTTATGATTTGTTGTTTTATTTGTATGAAAGATGAATTGTTAAGTCATTTTGGTTAATTAAGCACATGGATTGAATAAATAATGATTGGATGGGAATAAATAAATAAATAAAAAGAATAAAAAAAAACAAAAACGGTGAAAAGCAAAAATAATTTAATAATTTTCAATTAGGCCACTTCTTTTTTTTTTTCTTGGTTTACAAAATTTTTTTTCAAAAATGTCCACTGGGTGGTCGAAAAAAAAAAAAAAAAAAAACCTCAAAAAGGTCCATCGGGTATATTGTAAAAAAAAAAAAAAATCTTGTATGGTGCACATAAAACACTATTTTGTCAAAAATAGTGTCATTCTTCTATTGACATAAGCAAAAACAGTAATTTAAACATCTTTTTATTGTTGTTTTTCCTTAGTATAGCTTTCATGTTAACTTTCTTGATACAAATGTACCAAAAATATCTGCCATCTTTAGAAAATACTGGGCTAGCTCTTTAGAACGACATGGCCAAAGTGTCTGGAACGTTTGCTTGTTATAAAGCAGCACTTCTCCCGGTTTATACTGATCGGATGTGTGTCCGAACCGGTCCCGGCTGAGCATTTCGACGAAAAGAAAAATACAATTTAACAATATACTAGCAAATATATCGTAAATCAAACCATTAAATCTTCTCGAGGAAGGATACGGCTTATAGCCGTGCCGATGTCCTCATCAACGGCAGCCTTTAAAAAAGCCCGTCTGGTTGGCAAATCTTTAATTCCAACAAAATCAACTTGGAAATAAACAGTGCCGCTCAAGGGCGCCGCCATTGTTGTTTTACCATGAACTGTGGTAGTTATCCGAGGTATTCCGAATGTTGTGTTATATAGAATCGTACTCAAAAATATTCGAATTTTCGTACTCATATTTATCGCGCTTATCGGATAATTTTTTTTGCATCGGGGGAAAAAAAGTGGAAATTTCAGTTTTATTTTTTTTCCAATTTTTTCGGGTCGCCGGTTTTGTAAACCAAGAAATATAAAAGAAGTGGCCTTACAGTAGATAAATATCGAACATAATTATTTATAACTATAAGCACACTTAATTAAAGCCTACCCAGGGACTGACAATAGAATTTTAGAATGCGTTTCACGGAACATGCAAACTTTCCTTAATGATGGACAAACTTCTATACCGTTGGTAATTGACGCAATTATCAGAGCCCAACAATTATTTTCGGTGTTTTTTTTTCAATTTAAAAATTAAAGTTAGTGAAACAAAAAAGGATTATTATCAAAATTTTGTAAACTTTTCAATTGATGTTATTTAACTGCAACCAAACGCTATTTTTTCTCGACGTCTTGAGATGACAAAGATAGATATTCGTACTTTCCTACTGTAGCCAACAAGGCGATTAATCTCTAAAAAGTAAACATACGAAGATAATTGCTGTTTTTTGGTTAAAACCCTCGTTTAAAGTCATAAAATAACACATGCATTTTCGATTTCCATATAACCTTGAAAAGTGCCATACGGCTAGCCAATACAGTGTGTCCTTGCTAGTCGTAGGTGACTCACGTACGGCTAGAACTTTTGGCTAGCCACTTCCAATGAAATTAGCCATACTAGTAGTCTGTTTAAAAAATCGTTTATTTTTCCGTTTTAAAGGAATACCCCGCCCGCTATGATCATTGAGTTACATTGAAAATGGCGGCGGCCAACAAGAACTGCCGTTCATTGATTGATACAGTTAGTAACTGCAGTGATCTGGAGGGAAAACTGCCAACACCACCACCACTTTAAGGCAGCATTTAACCTATGTCCAAGCCAGTGTAGACTTTCACTATTCTAGAAATTATTAACACACAGGCAAAAGTTTGCATTACATGTGCAATGATCTGGTAAATTTTTTAGCTTCACTGTTGTTATTATTGATATATTTGATAATTTCAGTGATATAATGACAATATATAATGAACCACCACCTGGGATGTGTATAGTACCTGACAAGGATGATCTCACCAAGGTATAATTTATGTTAACACCAGAAACTAACCAGTAAGATATAGCATGATAATGGTAAAAGTTAACATGTTACATTTGTAGTTTAGGTTTAGTACAGTGTAACCTCTGCGGACAGGCCCTCAGTAGACCAATTACATCTAAACAACAAAAGTTTCAGTTCTTCCTGCAATAAGATTTAACCTGTTACCGCTCAAAACAACAAACAAAGTCTTAGTCTCTCAAGTTGGCTCTGTAAATTACCTTTTAACAACAGATTAATTTACCTGTGTATTGACCATTTCATGATGTAGGTTCTATATCATGCAGACTTCTTCACTTTAAAAATTCAAATATTTTGTATACAACTATTCTAGGCATAATTTGTGTGGTTTAATGTTTAAATTGATATCTTTATGTGTCTTCATATTTAGATTCATGCCTTGATAACTGGACCATTTGACACACCATATGAAGGTGGCTATTTCTACTTTATGATTCGATGTCCACCAGATTATCCTATTAGAGCACCTAGGGTCAAGTTACAGACCACAGGGGAAGGAAAGGTCAGATTCAATCCAAACCTTTACAAAAATGGGAAAGTTTGTCTCAGCATTATTGGGTATGATAAATTTTGATTATTTTGTCATCTATATAATAGTTGTTAACAATTTCATAACTATTCAAGGTCTTGGTGCCAAATAGTTATAACTCCTTTTGGACATCATGTGGTGAAACTATATAATAATTTGACATCATATTTACATAGAACTTAAAAAAATTCAATCTTAGTTTATTCTGTTATGTTACATCAAAATAAGACAGAAATGAAGAAATACAACACATTATGATCAGAGCTGCATCAGTACTAAGGGTGTAGTACTTAAGTACCAGTACCAGTACTTGGCAAATTTTGCAGTACCAGTACTAGATTTTAGCTCGTTACTGCAGTACCAGTACTTTTTTTGGTGAAGTAATTAAGTATCAGTACCATTACTTTTATATATTCATCAAAGTTTGATAAATACAATGTCAAACAAATAATTGCAAATATTATTCAGCAAAGAAATAAAAACATAATTTACTTTAAAGTTAACATAACATATTTACAACTTTATAGTTTTAACATACTTTTTACAAACAATATTTAAAACATATATTCATGTCATATCTAATTGTTTAGTAACCAGTCAACTGTATAAATACAATGAAAACATCTTTCATTTAAAACACAACAGTCTTTTGTTGCCGTTCACACCTTCACACCTCTGTTCAATTTATACCAAAGTAAATAACAACTTTTTATGGTGCTAACAATATCACTTTTTTCACTTGAAATGGGATTATTTAGAATAGAAAAAATTAATTAGTGTTTATTTTGCTCTTTTACTAGTAAATACAAAGTAATAAAATACTTTAATAAGGATATTTTAGAACAGAACAGAACAGATACTTTATTTTTTGACTTGTACAATCATACATCGTCATACATAAATAAACAATTTTACAATACATACTAACATAAATCACAAGATCGGATCTAAACATGTCTCTTTCATATCAATATAGAGGATGAATTATTAATATATTAAGTTGTATCTACTATATCTAAATTATTTCTATGAGACATCGCATCTCGTACATACAAGGATAAATTTAAAAGTATACTTCTATTGTTTGATTTTAACATATCAGTGAATTTAAGCATACTAGGTCTTATATAATAGTATCTTTTTATATATTTTTTTCTTATATCAGTATAACAAGGACAAATTAAAATGAAATGGTATTCATCTTCGACGTCATGTAGATTACAATATACACAATATCTTTCATTTCTAACAATTCTATTTCTATGAAACCTACCAGTTTGCACATGTAATGAATGCGAAGATATTCTAATTCTTGTAAGATACTTCCTTAAAGTACTTGGTATTATATCAAGATAATTTTCATATGCAAAAGAATCTTTAACATGATTATACAGATACAAAACAGGACTGCTCTCTTTACCAGAAAGCCAACTTTGTAAAAAACAATCAATTAACCTTTGTTTAAATATTGGTAAAAATATTTTACTATTTACGGAATCTGGAAAATCCCAAATATCACTAAAACCATGATTACATAATAACAATTTTAAGATTTGATAACCAATTTGTCTTACCATTATTACAGTCTTCAAGAGCAATGCTATATACATTTTTAAGAATGATATTATCTGTCTCAAGCATTTTAAACCAGAATCTTAACATATCTTGAAATATATAAAGGATAACGTGCTAGTTCACCATACGCAGCAACATTACATGAATTAACTTTTACATTTAATATTTTTTTACAAAATTTAAGATGAAGTCTTTCAATTTCCTTTGATTTAGTAAAACCCCAGATTTCAGCAGCGTAATTTAAAATTGAACCAACAAAAGAGTCAAAAAGCTGACATAACACTTTAGGTTTTAACTGATATCTATTACAATTAATCAATAGTACATTTAGAGCTTTATGAGCTTTACCAATCAAATGTTCTTGATTTAAACTAAAACTACCAGTATAAGTTAATATTGTTCCTAAGTAATTGAAGCTATCGACAATATCTAAATGTTTCCCTTCGTAATAAAATAATTCATTGTTTTTTAAACCTCCACGTCTTCTGAAAACAACAACTTTGGTTTTATCAATATTTACTTCTAAGCTCCATTTTTTACAATAATCATTCAATAACGTCAAACTTCTATTTATATCATCTGGTGTATTTCCTAAAATTACCATATCATCAGCGAACAGTAACAAAATCAAAACAATATCGTTTATAGTCAAACCACTATTTATATCCTTTTGTAAAAATAATTCAAAGTCATTTAAAAAGAGGGAAAATAAAATCGGTGAAATTACCTCCCCTTGACGTAGACCTACAGCATAATTAAAGAATTCTGAATAACTATTACATAACCTTACACACGATTTTACTTTACTATACATGTCTTTTACTAGGCGTAACAATTTACCTCTAATCCCACAATTACTTAATTTTAACCAAAGCGCGTTTCTATATATACAATCGAAAGCCTTCTTAAAGTCTACAAAAACACAATACAAACGTTTATTATTATTTATATATTTTGAACAACTGTCATAAGAATAAATAAAGCATCAATGGTTGATTTTCCTTTTCTAAATCCAAATTGTGCATCTGACAAAACATGGTTTTCTTCACAATATTGTATTAATCTTTTATTTAAAATAGATGTGAATAATTTCGATAGACAACTAACTAACGTAATTCCTCTATAATTATAAACATCATTTTTATCACCTTTTTTATACAACGGAATTATCACACCTTCAGACCATGTATCTGGGAAATATCCGCTATCAAGTACATAATTAAAAATATCACAAATATGCGAGGATAAAATATCAATACATTCAATAAAATATTCATTTAACAGGCAATCAATACCAGGTGATTTATTTGTTTTTAAAGTTTTGATTGCTTCCAAAATTTCATTTATAGTAATACGTTTATCTAAAATATCATCCGATCCATTTAAATTTTCAAAATCATTGTTGCGTGAAAAATCTTCGGACTCCGTGTTACTTGATTGGAATATATCATTACCTAATTCTGAAAAATACTTAAAAAAATCTAATGAAATGTCATGATTTACTTTATTATTACATTTAAATAATTTCCAAAAGTCTTTCGGCTTAGAAAATCGTAAGCTCTCAATTTTTTCAACTTTTTTCAATTTAAACAAACGTCTCTTTTTCTTAACCAAATTCTTATATTTAGCTTTATAAAAACACAACTGCTCCCTATTTACAACACTATTATCTACTTTAAAATTATTTTATGCGTTTATATACAACTTTTTAGCTTGTAAACAATCATTATCAAACCACTCCTTATCCTTAACAATACATTTATCAATAAATGTAGGCTGATTATGCATACTATAATTCTTACAAAATAACGGATTCGCAATTTCTTGTATCACATTGTTAAAGCCTAATAAAAGAGAGTCTATCGCAGAACGATCAGTTAAATCTACATTATGACATAATTCGTTTAATACTGGTAATTTTCCAATAAGATTCGACCTGAAATTATCTCTAAGTTCGGGGGACCATACATATTTAACAAAATTGTCATTTTGTTCCCCATGTTTACACTTACACGTTTCACTACAATTAATATTGAAAGAAATAGGGCAGTGATCACTCCATGCATTCAAATCGTGCACACTGAAATTACTTATCAGCGAAAAATTACATTCTTTTGTTAATAAATAGTCTATGGTTGATGACCCCTGGCTAGAAATAAATGTGCATTTACCGTAAAGAGTTATTGAGTCTGTTTATCTTAATTTAATTTTTACTTAAAGTCTTTGGTGCTTTTTATGATGAATACTATGTTAACATTTGAAGGAATATTGCAGCAAATTATCTTTAGATTTGATAACTTACTTTTTCACAAAAATAAAATATAGTTAATGTAATTTACAGCTTTATTTTATGAGAAAAATTGATGCTATTTTTAATTTTTATCAAAACCAAAAGTACTGGGTAATGCAGTAGCAGTACCGCTTTTTAAGACAGTAATGCAGTACCAGTACCAGTAATAGCAAAATTTTGTAAGAGTAATTCAGTATCAGTACCAGTACTTGCAAAATCGCTGCAGTACCATTACCAGTACCAGTAATGCAGCTCTGATTATGATACATTGTTACATGTATATAAGTAGCTCTAGTTATAAAGATTTGGTCATATAATCTGCATGGAATAATGAACACATATTTATACAGCAAACTTTCCTTTTTAGAGAAAAATGTGAGATCTCTTCATAAATTGACAGCAGCTGTGTATATAATTTATAATAAAACTATATAAATGTCACAATTATCCATTGAAAAGCAATGTTACAAATGTTCAGTATAATAATCTTTTTTTCAGCTCACCTGTCACAAAGTGACAGGGTGAGCTTTTGTGATCGCTTTTCGTCCGGCGTCCATCCGTCCGTCCGTCGTCCGTCCGTCCGTCGTCCGTAAACTTTTTCTTTAAATGACATCTCCTCATAAACCACTAAGCCAATTTCATCCAAACTTCACAGGAATGTTCCTTTGGTGGTCACCTTTAAAAATTGTTGAAAGAATTTAATTCCCTGCAGAGCTCTGGTTGCCATGGCAACCGAAAGAAAAAACTTTAAATATCTTCTTTTAAAAAACCATAAGAGCTAGAGCTTAGATATTTGACATGAAACATCTTCTAGTGAGTGTCTACGAAGTTTGTTCAAATAAAAGCCCTGGGGTCAAAATTGGCCCCGCCCCGGGGGGTCATTGATTTTCCCTATATGCATATAGTAAAAACTTAAAAAATCTTCTTTTAAAGAACCCAAAGAGCTAGAGCTAAGATATTTAGCATGAAACATGTTCTAATGGGTGTCTACCAAGTTTGTTCAAATAAAAGCCCTGGGGTCAAAATTGGCCCCACCCCGGGGGGTCATTGATTTTCCCTATATGCATATAGTAAAAACTTAAAAAATTTTCTTTTAAAAAACCAAAAGAGTTAGAGCTAAGATATTTAGCATGAAACATGTTCTAATAAGTGTCTACCAAGTTTGTTCAAATAAAAGCCCTGGGGTCATTGATTTTCCCTATATGCATATAGTAAAAACTGAAAAAAATCTTCTTTTAAAGAACTCAAAGAGCTATGGCTAAGATATTTAGCATCAAACATGTTCTAATAGGTGTCTACCAAGTTTGTTCAAATAAAAGCCCTGGGGTCAAAATTGGCACCGCCCCAGGGGGTCATTGATTTTCCCTATATGCATATAGTAAAAACTTAAAAAATTTTCTTTTAAAGAACCAAAAGAGTTAGAGCTAAGATATTTAGCATGAAACATGTTCTAATAAGTGTCTACCAAGTTTGTTCAAATAAAAGCCCTGGGGTCAAAATTGGCCCCGCCCCAGGGGGTCATTGATTTTCCCTATATGCATATAGTAAAAACTGAAAAAATCTTCTTTTAAAGAACTCAAAGAGCTATGGCTAAGATATTTAGCATCAAACATGTTCTAATAGGTGTCTACCAAGTTTGTTCAAATAAAAGCCCTGGGGTCAAAATTGGCACCGCCCGGGGGTCATTGATTTTCCTTATATGTGTATAGCAAAAACTTAAAAAATCTTCTTTGAAAAAACCCAAATAGCTAGAGTTAAGATATTAAGCATGAAACATCTTTTAGTGAGTGTCTATAAAGTTTGTTTAAATAAAAGACCTGGGGTCAAAATTGGCCCGCCCCGGGGGTCATTGATTTTCTTTATATGTGTATAGCAAAAACTTAAAATCTTCTTTGAAAAAACTCAAATAGCTAGAGTTTAGATATTAAGCATGAAACATCTTCTAGTAAGTGTCTACAAAGTTTGTTCAAATAAAAGCCCTGGGGTCAAAACTGGCCCGGCCCCAGGGGTGTCATTGTTTTTAACTATATGTGTATAGTAAAAACTTTAAAAAAATCTTCTTTTAAAAAGCCCAATGAGCTAGAGCTTAGATGTTTAGCATGAAACATCTTCTTATGGGTGTCTACCAAGTTTGTGCAAATAAAAGCCCTTGGGTTAAATTGGCCCTGCAACGTTGGGGGGGGGTGTGGGGGTTGGGGGGGGGGGCCTATATACAGGTGAGCGACCTCAGGGCCATCATGGCCCTCTTGTTTTACTCCTCCAAATGACTGAAGTGAAATAAAAACCATGTTACAGTAATGCTATTATGGTTTGTATGATTATATTTAGGACATGGTCTGGTCCAGCATGGAGCCCTGCTCAGAGTCTTTCAAGTGTTTTAATATCAATACAATCATTACTTAATGAAAAACCATACCACAATGAACCAGGATTTCAAACTGTAAGTATTCTATGGTAAAATCTTGCTTGTGATTAATCTAAGATTAAAAACTGTGCTAAGTTTATGAATTTGTTGCCCTGAAATTCATCCTCATTCACATTGTATTTTGACAATTAGCTGCCTTAATGAATGTGAAATGCTGTGAATTTAATATGAAAGATAAAAACTATTTAAACATATGAGAATTATAATATCTATAGATAAACATTTTAACATGTATTGCAGTGTACAGTAGATTTATACATGTATATTTTGTGTCCCCTTTTGTCACCATGCTGTCTGTGGACAACTTTAACCTTGGCCAGAATATTTCCTTTCTATAAGCTAGAGCTTTCATTCTAAGACATAATAAAAATCAGACCCACAGCTTCATTTTGACACATTAAGATAATTTCATGACCCAGAAATGACCTTAAGTTTCAAGTAAGATTGTCAAAACTCATGAAATTTCACCACAATTTTATTATGCATCAGAAAGTAATTGCTTGCCAGCCCCTTCATTTTGATATTTTCTGTATCATAACTTTGTTAAACTTAGCATAAATGTTCCCCATTATGAGGTGATGTTTTACAAACTTATACTTCTGAAAAAAATACTTATGAAAATGTTTAGAAAAATATTTCATTATAAAGTATTCAATTTATGTTTCAAAACAGTACAATAATTACCAGACAAGGTAATTTTTGATAAAAGTAATCTGTGCTTTATTGTACAACTTAAGTCAACTGTTTTTAAATCATTGTTGTTGTTGTTGTTGTTATAATCAGGAGAGAAATGCAGGGGATGCAAAACGTTACAATGACATAATACGACATGAAACATTACGTGTAGCTGTCTGTGATATGCTAGAGGGGAGATGTATGTGTCCTGATGCCCTCAGGTAATTCTCTCATTATTTATTGATAAAACAGCTATAGGGGCGTCCTTTGCCTGGTAGTTAAGATCGTTGACTTCAAACCACTTGCCTCTCATTGCTTAAGGTTCCAGCTGCTCAAGCTCCATATGAGGAAGCTATCCAGCTAGCTTATGGATGGGCGGTTCTATTCGGGTGCTTGTTTCTGCCTGAAAAAATGCACAGAGGGGCATCTGAGGTCTTCCTCCATCAGTAAAGCTGGAAAGTCTCCATATAACCAAACTGTGTTGGTGCAATGAAAAACCCGATAAAGAAAAGAGACATAACAGATTATCATTATTAATAGTGAGAAAACATTGTCTTGTTGTATAAAATTTATGAAGAGTAAGAGTGAATACTAGTAATTTGAAAATAGGTCATGTGACCTTGCTCTATATTGGAGGCATAGGAAAGTTAAAATCGCCTCTAGTGGTCAAGGATTTAAAATGAATTTCAATGTAGGAACTGTGTTCCTACACATTGTAGTGCCAGTTAATATTTCTTGATTGAAAATCACATCTGATACTAATATTTCTTGAGTGAAAGTCACATCTGATACAAGCTACCAAAAAGATATCACAACATGCATTCTATTGAAGTTAGTTGTCAAGTTGAGAATACAAGTTACAGATGTGGCAAATTAAGCCCTTTGTGTCTGCTGGGTTACCATTACAGTTAAGGCATCAGAATCTTAGCCACTATTTAACCCTGCACAATCGTAAGAGGCTACTACTTGGGTTCAAATGATTGCAGTTGTTGCATCTCTTAGCTCCAGCAGGTGAGGTGGTTGTGACCCTTGGTACTGCTGTAAGTTTGTTGTTTCAGCGCCATATGACCTAAATTGTGTTGGTGCGCCGTTGATCCAAACATAAACAAAATGTGGCAAATTTAGAAAAATATATACATTCACTCTATTTTCAGTAAGTCACTGATATTCATAAAGCATTGAATTTACTTTAAAAGCAAATGAAGCTCTAGAATTTAGAAAATTGTCTTTTTAAAGAAAGGGCAAACATGTGTTTTATAGTGATATTGGCTTTAGAGAATGTGAGATGTTTTTATCACCTGAAGAAAATAGCAGTGAATATGAAAGGTAGCTAAATGTTAACAAAGAGGTATTTTGACTACCATACAAAATACTAAATCATTATAACTGTACTAAATGGTCAACATGCAAATGATGTAAAATATGGCTCATCTATGTTGTATATGAAAAATGAATAACATTTTAGAAACTGTATCAAGACATCAGAAATGAAAAGCTTTTGAAAAATAAAGATATTAGCGTTTTTGAGTCTTAATGACCCTTTAAAGTTGGTATGTGTACAATAGAGTTAGATTACTTTGTTTTACAGAGAGGTGATGGAGAAATCTTTCCCAGATTACTACGATTATTATGAGAGTATATGTAAAAGTAACCTTCATCAACAAGGTGAAACTATGCAGGTATGTATCATTATATAACAGTCTGATTATATTAAGATATTTAACATTGTTCAGTGCAATACAGAGATATATTTGGATGAGCACCCTTTATCTTAGGTACTGAGTACATGACCACTGAAGTATACAAATACTGTACAGGAAGTATAAGCAACTTTTAAAGCGCATGCATACAAAAACTGGTTCATATTTGTACTTTTATGTGATGAAATAGTCTGTTAATTGGTCAGATACTGTAAAATCATTATTATTCGTGGGGCACGAATTTTCGTGGTTTTCGTGGGTAGGTCAATCCACGAATTCAAGATCCGACAAAATTTTATCCCAGCAAATACTTCTTACCCTGTCTCTGTTCTATATATTACAAACATGCGTCGGCTCTTTTCAAACCGATTTTCGTGAATTGGACGTATATACATACATCTTATCAGGTTAGTGACAGATTAAATCCGTTTGCAATATTTAAGAAACTTGAAAGAAAACTCGATTATATGTTCTTTATTTACTGTCACAAATGTCAGTCGTATATACACACTTGATCGTTGTAGTCTACTTGATTGTGTAAACAAGAAAACTTGACATAATCGAGTAAATATAGGAACCCAGGCAATGCAACAATTAGCGCTTATAAAAATTGTCAGTTTGCTCTTATTAATTAAAAAAAGTACACAAAACTATAAAAAAAAAAATACGATCACTAAAACAAATGAATTGTACATTCTTTTATCGTTTTAGATGATCCAATTTAAATTAATTTTTATCTGTATTTGTGCAAATGCTATTCCATAAACATCAAAGACGCCACCGACTTTTACTAGATCCACACATACTCGTGTTATTTACTCAGATTAATTTATATGCATGTAAATTTACACAGTCGCTGTGACGTGTTAATGTGGTAAGACCAATTCAGGGTGTAAACTTTTTTAACTGGCTGGTTAAAATGTATCAGGTGTCGTATAATTATGCGATGTTTACATCGGCGAATTACAGGGGTTAATTGCAACCAATTATCGGCAGTGCTAAATTAGAGTTATGCCCAGAGGCAAGGACAAGCGCTGTGTGACACGTAAAGATATGTACATGTTGTAAGTAAAAATGTTCGGCGATTAAGAATTGCATGAGGTTACTGATTTTTTTTACAAGAAACTGAAAATCCACGAATTTAAGAACCCACGAAAATGCCTGTTTTGATAAAACCACGAAATTTCATGCCCACGAATATAAGTGAATTCGCAGTACATTTGCAGAATTACACATTTACGTTATGTTTGTATATCACAAGTGTTGGCACGTCAAAATGTTATAACACAAGTGTAATATTGTTTTTAGCTTGACTATTCTCGGAATAATCAAGCTAATGCAGTCACCCATTTGTCTGCGTCCCTGTGGTTAAGTTTGTGCGTGTAAGCTGGTATCTTCATAACTACTGAAGTGAATGGATTGAAACACTTGTACTCTGTGATTATCTAACATGATTGGCACAAGTCCCATAACTCTGATTTGCTTTTTTGCATAATTATGCCCCTTTTTGACTTAAAAATTCTTGGTTAAGTTTTTGCATGTAAGCAAGTATCTCCATAACTACTGAAGGGAATGGATTGAAACTTCACACACTTGTTCTCTGTGATTATCTTACATGATTGGCACAAGTCCCATAACTCTGATTTGCTTTTTTGCATAATTATGCACCTTTTTGGCTTAAAAATTCTAGGTAAAGTTTTTGCTTGTAAGATGGTTATAATCTCCATAACTACTGAAGGGATAATGCTTTTTTTGGAATAATTTTATGCATTCATAATAATAAAGTGGTGATTAACTTGATAAAACATCTTAATAACAAGCCTTTGTACCTTTTCGGACAATTTTATGTATTCATATGGGTAAGCATTATTATACTCAATGAAACACCTTTGTGACAACTTTTTTGAATAGTTGAGTGTTACTGTCCTCTGACAGTTCTTGTTATTAAATGGGTTTATTACATTTCTCTTGTATTCACCTGATCTTGGTGTAAACTCTAAATTGTGTACACGCTCATGTTTTCACTAAATAGATTTCATGAACAAAATTGTGAAATTTGGCAACAGACATGTATAATGTCTGGCATAATGTTTATACAGGGCTGCTTGATAGCTTAAAAATAATGTTATCAGAATGTAAAGGTTATCATTTGTAATATTTCTTCTAATACTATTCATTTATTATTGAAGCAGTTAACTTATACATGTATTTGTGTTACTTTTCCATGTGTTATGGATAAACATTTTTAAAGATTACAAATAAATGCCTGAAGTTGCTTTTGAAAAGATGGACTTTTATCATTTATAACTCTTGTAAATTGTGTACCACAATTGCAGGACCCTTTTGGTGAAAGACGTGGAACTTTTGACTATGAATCAATTCTTAAAAGACTAGAAAAAATAAAAGCAACGTTAAGTGAGAAACAGACTGTTAGTTCGGAAGAGGAATCATCTGATACTGACATGGAATCTACGTCCACCGAAAGATGACGACAACCTCCAGTAATAGGTGTACTATGTCAATGTGATGTCAAAACTTTTATAGCAATTTTATGTTGTTTTTTTTCTTGTTGTTATGATAAATTTAACAGTTGTTGTTATTGTATAAAGATAGTTACAGGATTCTTTATGAGAATATTGTGCTTTAAAGCCACCTTCAGCTTTTTTTTTTTTTTTGGAAAAACAATTCTGTGTTGTTTCAATTGAAGTATTTCAGTAAATTTTTCTTCGAAAAAAAGCATCATATCACTGTCAAGGTCTTTTTCAAAACAGCGTCCCGAAAGTTTTGTATAAAGCATCAGTGACGTTTGTTTTTAAAAACAGAAATTTGGGAAATGAATCTTCTGCTTTACTAAAGTAAAGTGTGGATTAGAGGTATCGGGAGTTTCCTTATTGTTTAAGAATTCTATCATTGGAAAATATCATTTTGCACCTTAATTCTTTTGATTTGACAATTATATGACACAATTTATCTAAAAATAACATCATTAATCTTTAAAATAGATAAAGGCTGATTAAAAGATGAAAATCCTAGGAGGGTTTTATAGTTTGCAAGATGTTTTGAAAAATGTACAAAGACTTGTTGTTTAAAGTTTATTTTTCTTTTTTAGAAATAAAATCATTACATACTTTTAAGGACAGAACAAACTTCCTTGCCTTGTGAAGTTGACAATATCCTTACTTTGTTAATTTCTACTACTGTACTACTTTCTGTTAAAGCAGCACACCTCCAGATTCATACTATTGTCATAATTTTGACATATTGATCCAGGGTTTGATGGTTCCATCCTAGTGCAAGGGGAAATTTCTCTGTGATAATCTTGGACATTTAGTCTAAAGGTAATTTGTCTCTCACCGCTAGTGTAGAAATTATTTGGGATAACAGTCAATTTCAGTCAACAGACTCCTTATATAAGGAAGTGTTTTAAAATGTAAAAATATTGTTAATTGAACAATTAACGATTAAGTAATTTAACTGACCATAAGATACAAATAACCTTACATAAATTACATGAAACATGTCAAAATATAATGCAAAATAACCCTACTTTGTAAGTGACTGGATGGATGGATGTATGATGATAAAAGTAGAATACTCAAGTCATATTTATGCATATAAATGTTGTATTATAATGTATCGTTTCATTTTTACAGTTCTCAAGCTCTTGATGTAAATTTTTTCTAAAGTTATTTTTTTTTTTAATTTTTGTTTGCTCATTTAGAAGTCTTTGGTTTTAAAAGACAGTTGCATTGTTCAGATGTTGCTGTTCATTACATACATGTACATGTGATAACTGAATTGGGCCAAAAATGGATTTTCAGCTGGATTTAGGGGCTCAAAATTTGATTTTTTTATCAAATCCAATGTGTGTTTAGCACATTTGCTATAAAGAACTCGCATAACTCTTAAAAATAACAAGTGATTTTATGATTTTATTAATAGTTTAATTATCAATATTATATAACCAAAAAAAAAAGAATATAATCATATCGATAGCCATAAGTCAATGTAGTACAGTCACATTAATTTTTTCAGTTTGCACATATGTTGAACGACAGTTGATTGTTTTCAGAAATTAAATAAATCAAAATTGCAAGTTTTAGCATTTTCACTATCAATGTGACATGTCAACTGTTAAAACTTCTTCGTATATAAAATGTGTATTTGAAAACATGCTAAAGTATGTATGACATTATTAATTAAGTTTTGATCTATTTTGATGATACTCGAGAAAAAAAATAATTATGTAAGAAAACAACAATTTATCATCATAACCTTTCAAGCTTATTGAATTTTAACTTTTCAGTTAACTTATTGAAAGTATATATACTTAGTTGTACCTGAATTAAAACTTAAATGATCACCTGAGGTATTTCTCAGCCATTAAAGCTGAGAAGTTGCTCTCTAATTATGACAGTGTTGGTGTAAGTTACAAATAAAATAATCTCAAACTACCCCAACTCGGCCACAGTAAATAAAATTTGCAATTGTGAACTAAAAAGATTTTGTTAGAAGTAAACTTTTCTGTACTATTTATGTATATACATGTATATTTTTCAAAAATGTATAAATGTTTGACTATTGGCTGGACCATATTGTCATTACGACTGATTTTTACTGATATTTTATTTGAATTCTTGTTGACTCTTACCTTTTCAATAAAAAGAAGTTACTTTGTGTTGTGCTTTCTTTATTGAAATGTAGTTTTTTAAATTATTTTTGAGCAGTTTTTTAGCTCACCTGTCACAAAGTGACATGATGAGCTTTTGTGAATGCTTTTCAGCCGGCCGACCATAAACTTTGACTTTAAACGACATCTCCTCATAAACCGCTAAGCCAATTTCATCCAAACTTCACAGGAATGTTCCTTTGGTAGTCAACTTTAAAAATTGTTCAAAGAATTTAATTCCAAGCAAAACTCTGGTTGCCATGGCAACCTAAAGAAAAAAACTTTAAATATCCTCTTTTAGAAAACCGAACGAGCTAGAGCTTAAACATGAAACATCATCTAGTCAGTGTCTACCAAGTTTGTTCAAATAAATGCCCTGGGGTCAAAATTGGCCCTGCCCCGGGGGGTCATTGAGTTTCCTTATTTATAAATAGTAAAAACTTAAATAATCTTCTTTTAAAAAACCGTAAGAGCTAACAAACTAACCGTGCTTCTTAAAAATAATCATAAATAAGCCATGTAGATTATTCATCAGTTTCATTTATCTATTTTCACTTCAAAAAACGGATGTATTGATGTATGCAGCACAATATACCCTTATGACAAAACCCTTATGTTCAATAATTGAAATATGAACTTTACTTTTAATTGACTTTGACTGTAAAGGTCAAATTATTAAAATTTGCTTGAATTGTTATTATTTATTTATAGACCATTCTTGGACAATACCATCATGATAATACCATCATGTTGAATTATTCTGATATGACCTTGACCTTTAATTGACCTTGACTGTCAAGCTCATATTATTCAGATTTGCTTAAATTGTCATAACCTTGTTATTTATTAACAGATTGATTCTTTCTTGGACAAAAGAACACATATGACAGTACGGACATGTTGAATTATATTAATATGACCTGGACCTTTGATTGACCCTTGACTGTCAAGCTGATTTGTTTGACTGTAGAAATAAGAGAAAGTCATGTGGGCCCTGCTAGGCAGTGGCTTGTGTTATAATGTAGGACTTCATGAATCTACAAGTCAAATATTTCTATGTCTACAAATCAAAGTTGAGCACTTGAAGTGAATTATCAAGTTTAAGCTTTCCATTTGTAATCATATATTTCAGTACGGAAATTTTCATGATTTATATAAAGAAAATTTTGACACATAATCTGTACAAGAATTCAGTGAGTATTTCACCTTGTTAATATTTTCACACAGGGTAAATAATGCTTTTACAGTCCTTTTAGTATTATTCCGTTTTTGACAGGCAAGTTTATTATTATCTTTCAAGACAGACAAGAATATAGTTAGCTGAGTTTTTGTTGTTGTTTTTTTTTAAACATTTTCGAAAAACAAATATCTAAGATTTCATGCATTATCTATGTATTTAATTTTTTGAAACAGCAATATATTTCATGTAAATATTTAAATATTTTATGCAAAAGTGTTATGTTTTATTACTATGGATTCTGGCACTAAACGGAGGCTTTTACTGCTGTTGTTTTTTTCTCGGACACTATATCTGCTTTCCTATAATATCTATAAAACCTTTTTTGATTTCAGTTTAATTTGATTAAAAAAAATTTGTCCTGTCAAGTTTTCCTGTCTTTATGTGATACATCAGTTACTTTTGCCCTTCACTGCTTTGTGATCAAATTGTAGTAGAGACATCTAATAGTTCCTTTTTATACCCCCGCACAACAAAGTTGTAAGGGGGGTATACTGGAATCAGCTTGTCCGGCCGTCCGTCGGTTTTTTCTTGTCCGCCCAATAACTTAAGATTCCTTTGACTTTTAGTCTTCATATTTGGCATGGAGGTTAGTCATGATTAGTAGATGACCCCTATTGATTTTGAGGTCACTAGGTCAAAGGTCAAGGTCACAGGGACCTTGACTTCAAAAAGCTTGTCCGCCCAATAACTTAAGATTCCTTTGACCTACAGTCTTCATATTTGGCATGGAGGTTAGTCATGATTAGTAGATGACCCCTATTGATTTTGAGGTCACCAGGTCAAAGGTCAAGGTCACAGGGGCCTTGACTTCAAAAAGCTTGTCCGCCCAATAACTTAAGATTCCTTTGACCCACAGTCTTCATATTTGGCATTGAGGTTAGTCATGATTAGTAGATGACCCCTATTGATTTTGAGGTCACTAGGTCAAAGGTCAAGGTCACAGGGGCCTTGACTTCAAAAAGCTTGTCCGCCTAATAACTTAAGATTCCTTTGACCCACAGTCATCATATTTGGCATGGAGGTTAGTCATGATTAGTAGATGACCCCTATTGATTTTGAGGTCACCAGGTCAAAGGTCAAGGTCACAGGGGCCTTGACTTCAAAAAGCTTGTCCGCCCAATAACTTAAGATTCCTTTGACCCATAGTCTTCATATTTGGCATTGAGGTTAGTCATGATTAGTAGATGACCCCTATTGATTTTGAGGTCACCAGGTCAAAGGTCAAGGTCACAGGGGCCTTGACTTCAAAAAGCTTGTCCGCCAAATAACTTAAGATTCCTTTGACCCATAGTCTTCATATTTGGCATGGAGGTTAGTCATGATTAGTAGATGACCCCTATTGACTTTGAGGTCACCAGGTCAAAGGTCAAGGTCACAGGGGCCTTGACTTCAAAAAGCTTGTCCGACCAATAACTTAAGATTCCTTTGACCCACAGTCTTCATATTTGGCATGGAGGCTAGTCATGATAAGTAGATGACCCCTATTGACTTTGAGGTCACCAGGTCAAAGGTCAAGGTCACAGGGGCCTTGACTTCAAAAAGCTTGTCCGCCCAATAACTTAAGATTCCTATGACCCACAGTCTTCATATTTGGAATGGAGGTTAGTCATGATTAGTAGATGACACCTTTTGATTTTGAGGTCACTGGATCAAAGGTCAAGGTCATAGGGACTTTGACTTCAAAAAGTTTGTCCACCCATTAACTTAAGATTCCTTTGACCCACGGTCTTCATATTTGGCATGGATGTTGATCATGACTATAAGGTGACCCCTATTGATTTTGAGGTCACTGGGTAAAAGGTCAAGGTCACAGGGACCTTGACAAAAAAAAGCTTTTCTTCTCAATTGCTAAAGAATGTCCTGTCCGCAATGTATTGATTTTGACATTTTCACATTTGAAGCACTGGCTTAGTAACCTCAGATTTGGCAGGGAGGTTGTCCTTGAGCTCTAAATGGCCACTGTTGATTCTGACAAAGTGGTATGCGGGGGTATTCACGCCATGATAGTGGCAGTTCTAGTTTCTTCAAAGGTATTATCTTGTAGTTTTAAGCCTTCATCATTACAAGCAAAAATATAACATGTCAAAGAATACTATTTTTAACCTTTTTTTGTTTTTATGTTTTTTTAGGCTTATAGCTCATTCAATCATGTTGATGAATAATTAAAAACTAATAATCTTTTTTATTCATAAAGAAATTTATTCAATGTTTAGTTTTGTAGAAGCAGCATCATGTACTTTCTGAAATAGTTTAGGTTTTCTGCTTGTTTTAGTCTTTCATTTTATAGCATAATAATTAAATTAGCCTTGTTTTGTTTTTTGTATCACTTGCCCTGCAGGAATTGAAAGTGATCAGCCTTTGCCCAGGCCAGCCTATACATCTGTTCAGTGTCACCAGGCTATATACAGTTGATTACTTAATTTTGGTATGTTAAAATATAAAAAACCTTTGAATGGACTGTTCTAAATTCAAATCTGGCCAAATCAATAACATTAGTTTAGCACATTAGGGGTTATAGTGGCAACTATCATTATTTATATATAGTACTTTGTGAAATGCTTTAGATTTTTTATTAATGCACTACATTGAAATAAAACAAATAGTCTTGCTTTTTTGTAGCAACAAATAGCTCTATGAAAATGTTTCAGTTTTGTTTTTGAAGTAGTTAACATGATGTTTACAGCTTTGTAACTTGTTTTTATACTGTATAATGAACACATTCATCATAACCCGTGTGTAAATAGAACTAAATTCAGCATAGTATATTCTCCCCATGTGTCATAAAGATCATTCAAGCATATTTATAATTATTGTGTATGTTATTTGTTAGCTAAACTTCTAGGAACTGCGAAGTGCAATAGAGGGACCATAGTTAAGGCCCAATTGAAGTAAATATATAAATAAAATTATGTGGGTTTTTTAAATGTAGGAGATTGTTGATTTGTTTTGTTGTTTTATATATATGTGTTGCTATGATGTATTTTGTATATTAATCATGAGATGAGTTTGTTCTGTTATCTGTTTATCTTACTTTGTATATAATTTACCTGTTTTGTATAAGTTGCTTTTTGTAGCATACACAGTACAATAAAATTGCTAAATAAAGTCACTTAGATTTTATTATTTAGAAATACATTCTAATCTTATCTACATTATAATGCTTCAAAATTGTTTAACGTCACATTTTAAGCTCGACTATTCGAAGAATATGAGAGCTATTGTAGTCGCCCCGGCGTCGGCGTCCACGTCGGCGTCTGCGTTGGTTAAAGTTTTTTATAAAGTCAAATATCTCAATTATTACTTGAGATATTCAATTGAAACTTACAATACTTATTTATAGTAACAAGGTACATCAGTTTTTGACAAGTTGGATAACTCTGCCTACAATATTGACAGAATTATGCCCCTTTTTAACTTAGAAATTTTGGTTAAAGTTTTTTGTAAAGTCAAATATCTCAATTATTGCTTGAGATATTCAATTGAAACTTACAATACTTATTTATAGTAACAAGGTACATCAGATTGACAAGTTGGATAACTCTGCCTGCAATATTGATAGAATTATGCCCCTTTTTAACTTAAAAATTTTGGTTAAAGTTTTTTGTCAAGTCAAATATCTCAATTATTGCTTGAGATATTCAATTGAAACTTACAATACTTATTTATAGTAACAAGGTACATCAGATTGACAAGTTGGATAACTCTGTCTACAATATTGACAGAATTATGCCCCTTTGGAACTTAGAAATTTTGGTTAAAGTTTTTTTGTAAAGTCAAATATCTCAATTATTGCTTGAGATATTCAATTGAAATTTAAAATACTTTTTTATAGTAACAATGTACATCAGTTTGCAAAATTGCATAACTCTGCCTGCAATATTTGCAGAATTATTTGCCCCTTTGAAACTTAGAAATTTTGGTTAAAGGTTAAAGGTCTTCAAAGATATTTACTTGAAACTTTAAACATGCACTTCGGGTCATAATTGGAGGGTCATAATTGTATGTCACTGACCAAGTTCCATAACTCTATCTTGCATTAAGGCTGATTCATATCCCCTTTTCTACTTAGTCTCTTTGTTAATGTTTACATGCAAGTTTTACATATCTCAATAACTATTAAAGATATTTATTTAAAACTTCACATATGCATTTAGGGTCATAATTGTAGGTCACTGACAAAGATCCATAATTCTATCTTGCATTTAGACTGATTTTTCTCCCCTTTTTAGTCCCCTACCGGTTTACCGGAGGGGACTTTAGGTTTACCCTCCGTCCGTCTGTCCGTCCGTCTGTCCGTCCGTCAGTCCGTCCACAAAACTGGATCCCGCGATAACGCAAAAAGTACTGAAAATATTTTAATGAAACTTGATATATGGATAGATGGCAGTATGGAGATTATGCACGTCTTTTTCTTTTCTTCCTATGTTGAAAATTCTGGTTGCTATGGCAACAAATAGACTGAAAATATGACAAATTTTACACATAAAATGGATCCCGCAATAACGCAAAAAGTACTGAAAATATTTTTATGAAACTTGATATATGGATAGATGGCAGTATGGAGATTATGCACGTCTTTATCTTTTCTTTCTATGTTGAAAATTCTGGTTGCTATGGCAACAAATAGACTGAAAATATGACAAATTTTACACATAAACTGGATCCCGCAATAACGCAAAAAGTACTGAAAATATTTTTATGAAACTTGATATATGGATAGATGGCAGTATGGAGATTATGCATGTCTTTTTCTTTTCTCTCTATGTTGAAAATTCTGGTTGCTATGGCAACAAGTAGACTGAAAATATGGCAAATTTTACACATAACCTGGATCCAGTGATAACACAAAAAGTACTGAAAATATGTTTATGAAACTTGACATATGGGTAGATGGCAGTATGGAAATTATGCACATCCTTTTCTTATCTTCCTATGTTGAAAATTCTGGTTGCTATGGCAACAAATAGACTGAATTTCAAGATTTGTTATTCTAGTTTTTAAGTTTTTTCACTATAAGTTCTTTATTTCTTAAGGTATTTTCTTCAAACTTTAAATATAAGTTGCTTGTCATCAACCACATCATATGTGACAAGGTTTACAACTCTAGTACAAAATTTATCAGAATTACCTCCCTTGAACTTAGAATTTTCATGAAAAAAACATTGTTTTTTTTAATAACTTCTTTTTCTGAATGTATCTACTTCAAACTTCATATAAATGTTTTTTATTGTCACTCAACATTTGTGAGTGTTCAATACTCTAGCAAGACTATTTCCAGAATTATGCCCCTTTTGAACTTAGACTTTTTTTTGAGAAATTGGTAATTTTTACTCCAACTTCTTCAATCATGATAGGATTTTAAAAAATGTTATATTTTGATAACAGGGATGTTTAAAAAATAACTTTAGAGTGTCCTTCAGTCCGTCTGTCTGTACATAAAAACTGTTTCCTGTGATCACTTTTAAAGAACCTTTTCAACAAATTTACTTAAAATAGGAACCTAAGTGAATGGTCCTTCAGAATGTTGCTTGGGCTCTTACCGGTAGGGGACTTATGGATTGCTTGCAATACTATGATAATTGCTTGTTCAACTTAGAAATTCATGGTAAAGTTTTGCTTGTAAGCTGTTATCTCAATAACTACTGAAGGGTTTGTGCCTTTTTTGGGACAATGTTATGCATTCATAATAATAAAGCAGTGATTTACTTGATAAAACATCTTAATAACAAGCCTTTGTACCTTTTCTATCAAATTAATGTATTCATAGGTAATTGGTATTATTATACTCAATAAAACACTCTTGTGACATTACCTTCCAAATAGTCAAGCAAATACTGTATAATTAGACTCTCTCTAAGGCCTATAACATGAATTTATAAAAAAAATTAGCCCTTTTGTGAACTTAAAAAATTTAACATTATCAAGGCTCTTTTACTATCAAGCACTTAGAATACTCAAGCGTGCTGTCCTACTGACAGCTCTTGTTTATGCCCCTTGTCTGGGAATAGCTGTTAAAACAAATATATTAGGAGCAATTTAATAGACTAAAGCAAGTGAAAACAAAACTATCGTGGATCATTACTGTAACTGGGAACTTCCATAAGTTTTACAGGGAGGTTCTTTGTCCTTTTTGTTGGAAGATGTGACATTTTTTTTATAAATCTGAGTGAGTAATTTGCTTTTGCTGTTTATTTATTTATATTATTGATCCAAGATAGACCTTCACTTATTATTACGCCTAAAAGAAGCCTCTGTGGATTTTAGTTATTTACTCCATGGACAGATCCTATTCCCAGTTTTCAAGACTGTTTAGATCTTTTTGGAGGGTTTGGGCATCTTCGATTGATTCAAACCAAATGTAGATTACTACAAAACATGCACCCTTCTAAATTTACATTTATTAATTTATTTATCAATTATAACGCCACCAAGGTTGCATACCTATATTCTTTGTTTTTTCTCTTTCCTTGTTAGAAAATACTTTCAATATTTACAGGTGAAATTTAATAGAGCTATAAAGAGACACAAACATCTTGAATGAATTAAGACAGTACACAACACCTTCCAAACATTGAATATTTTATTATAAAGCTTGAATTCTATATATGAGAACTTGATAAATCATTAAAACTTATTGCCTAAGGTTAAAATCAGTCTAAACAATGTCAAATTTCAGAAAAGCATCCTTTTTAGGATAACTGTAAGAATAATTGCCACTGAAAATAATAGAAATCCAGTACTACCAACGTGTTATTGTCATATCATATAAACACAGCATATTTATAAAAGATGATTTAACAAAAATGTTATCTATTTCTTCTTCTTGAATTCGAAAGGATTAACGCGTACTATAGTTCTGAACTGATTTGGTTGAGATTGTTGATTCCTTTGGGAGACCTGAACGGGTTGCGGGGCAGCCGGATATGGCACGTGACTTACAGATATCTGCATCATGTCGGCGTAACCTACCGAACCTGAAATATAGTAAAAGCATCACATAAATTTATCATTACTACAACACTCGGTTTAACAAGATGTAAAGAACTTATGTGATGGTTTAATATTCGAATATTTGACGTTTTCAATATGAGAACATTGTAGTTAAAAGAGTAACACCTTATGGTTTAAATATAGATGTATTTATTTAAGCTTGATTGCTAGACAAGTTCTTGCAACTTATATTAATCTACTTCTAAATCCGCTTCCTGGAACTAACCAGTACGGGTGTCATGAAGAAACATGGGCGTACACGATTAGGGCTCGAACCCATGATCACTGGGTTAAGAGGCAGACACCTTAACCTTATGTGTAACATATGCAAATATTTTTTTCTTTCAAACGCAGACACAGTTTTACTTCTTCGTATTACTACGGAGACCGAGTATATTAGTGACTAGCAGAGGTAGCATTTTCAATTGCAGTTAATGCATTGGAATGTCTGAAATACGCCCCTGGTGTTCTATTTCTGCGGTGTAATCATTGTGTTTGTTCAATTTCTGTCGTATAACATCATTATTAATATCACCACGTGAATTACGGTTCAACTATTGAACTCTGAGATGTAATGTTTATACTATTTTACATCCGTAATATTGTTAAAAATTTTCGAAAATATATATACGTGGATCGCTCCATTTCGTTTTTCTGTCTCCCTTAGCGTACATAATGGTAGGGAATTTGGCGACATTTTCATATCCACATACACATCGATCTCGGCCTGGTTTAGGTTTGTCTATGACCTGTATCCAACCTTCGTCGTTAAAACAGTCACCACGATGTCGAGAACTGACGGTCCAGTGACGGGCATCATCATCTCTGTAATTGGAAATCTTTTTTTTTTTTTAAATACTAAACAATTGGTTTGTTAGTTCATTTATGTTTAGTGATGAGTTTCAATTGCTTTGGTATGTCGAAGTTATTCAATTATACCAACCCGTTATCATACTCGCACTGTATGTGTCCGCATTTACTCCATTAAAGTTGCACACCTCCAGATGAGCCAAAATATTTTCATGAAAATTACCATAAATCTGGAGGCGTGCTGCTTTAAACATGTCGAGCAGTTATGCCGGACCGTACAATTTAAGTTTCATCAATGCTGACTAACAAACACTAGCCTATGCTAACTATATATTCATAAGGGGAAAATACGTAGTTTGAATTTGTACCTAAATTAGTTATAGAACAAATACCATTACAAGTAAGGTAACGTTACCATTATGTGTCTACTACATTCCCCTGTCCGTAATATGTCGTGACATTGAGATGACCTTGTCAAGCTTTAAGTACTTCATTTACAAGACATGTATGATATGGCATACATTAATAAGATTGATGGTACGTTGTTCGTGTCAACCGAACATAGTACTTTTCAGAATTATTTTCGGTATGCTTTCCTCAGAAAAAATAAAAGCCACTTTATATCCACTTTACGTTTTAGTAAAATGGTACTGTAATGAGTTAACGATATCACATGCCAATTATTATATATATGTACATATTTTGCTATATTAACGACAACTCTTAAACACGACCAGACAGATTGTATATATTTTTATCTAAAATGAGGTTGCTGAGGAAAAAGTTTAGGTTAAGGTTTAAATATTTACATAAAAGGTTCATTGTAACAGTATCTAAATATAACTTAATAGATAACGCTTCCACGATCGTGAGATTCTGGCCAAGTAAAAATCGCTCGTGTCAAATATTAGTTCCAGATCAAGATAATTATATAATAACCCTGTTCTAATCACGTGAGTTTAACCATATTCTAACCACGCAAGTCTAAGATGTTTCTATAATCACGCGAGCTTAAGATGTTTCTATAATAACCCTGTCTAATCACGTGAGACATAGATACCTTTGTAATCACGTGAATTTAATATATTTCTATTATATATAACCCTGTCTAATCACGTGAGTTTAAGATATTTCTATAATAACCCTGTCTAATCACGTGAGTTTAGATGTTTCTATAATAACCCTCTTTTAAGATATTTCTATAACAACCCTGTCAAATCACGTGAGTGTAAGATATTTCTATGGTAAGTCCGTCTGATCACGTGAGTTTAAGATATTTCTAAAATAACCCTGTCTAATCACTTGATTTTTCAGATATTTTTTATAATAACCATGTCTTATCATGTAAGTGTAAGATATTTCTAAAATAACTTTGTCTGATCACGTGAGTGTAAGATATATCTTAAGGTAATTATAGTATACGAAACAATACAATTTACCCATCAAAACTAAAGTCATCTCCCGGGAAAGGTGAACCATCTACTGGTATATCAACATAAGTTGTTTTACGGAGGTTTCTGGGATTGAAGAAACTTGTCATATTTTGCATAAGACCTTCAAACTCGAACTCGGCCACCTCGTCACCATCGTCATATAGTTCTATGCGAACCTGTAATGAAATGTTAATGATAACTTCTTAATTCGTTACAAGACACGTATAATAAATGAACACAGACTTGGGAAGACCCAGTGTTTTTGGTATATTACAATACCATACAACACTATTACAGTTTTAACGTATGCCATCAATGCGCTTTAGTGTTGTACTGTCTAACTAGCTGTATCACGGTTATAAAATATTGTGTGACTGTTACATAGAGTGCGATATACTTTTATTTAAACTCGCCACCGGAAACCCTGATGTGACTTTCACTCAAGAAAACTTGCAGTTTTTGGTTTTGGTCTAGTGCAAAGGATCTGGGTCTTTGAAATAGTATTTTTGAAAGACCCTGCATTTGAAATACCCTGAAAGGATGTAGTTATTATGCCTTTTCAAGGGAAATAACTGGCTCTTTTGCGTTAGTACTTTTAACATTATATCTCTGTTCCACCTGAAAGATTTGTTATTTTTTTATAGTTGAAATAGCGGGGAAACGAACTCACGGTCCCCTGGATTTGTAATTCCGGCAGTTTTGCCACCGACCATCGCTGTTTAGAAAGCAGCCAGATTATAAATACATTTGAGGAATCAGCTTGAATGTGGTAATCTAAGTCTGTTTCATATTAATCATTCCATTAGAAAAGCGGCAAATATAAAGAATTTTAGGTGCTTCCGGGCTCATTAAGGCTTACTATGGCTTGATATGGTACAGGAATTAAAAAGAAATATTTCCTATTTTTTAATCTTCACATAATACCTTCTGTATGTTATTATGATGCCACTGGTCTAATTTCCAGCTACGGAACTGTGAATCGTCCTCATCCCCGTACCGTGCCGTTCTTTCCTGACTGAGGTAGTCATCGTGAGAATCCCAGTCATCACCTTGGTAAATTCTGTACACAGATTCCCAGTCATCTTCGTTAATAGCTAAAATAAACCAAAGAATTTCTTATCAAATTAAACCTATCTATTATTTACTTATAAAAGAAAAGTTTAGAAAAATGCATATTTTCTGATTTCATTTTCCGTTTTCACTATAAAAATATTTTCCGTATTTTCACTGGTGTCTTGTCGGACTACTTTCTTTTACATTCAGCAAGCACACAGAATTAAAGGGGAAGTCTCATGAAGCGTACAGGCAAAAAAGGTATATAATAAACAGAATTTCCCTCCAGAATTTATTTTCATCTTGACACAGAGCTGTATTTATTTATAATATAAGTCTCTGATCTTGTGAAATATTCGTGAAATATTCATTTTCATGTCACTAGATGAAAATAAATACCGTATTTAAAGAAAATAATTTGAATATCCTCTCTATATTCCTGCATTATACATGAGCTACATCTATCGTCCATGGATAATTTGAAAAATATCATTGAACCTACGTCACTCTAAGCCATATATTAGTGAGTTTACAGGCCTTTCTTGATTTGCAAATTGAAAAAAAAAATACAGCCATCTGTTTCTTTCTTTTCCTTCTGTTTGTATTATTTGGCATTCTTGTTCATTAAATATGTATTAAAACCATCAATATTAAACTTATTATTATTATTTTATCTTATACACATGTCATTTATGAATTGTTTTGACCCAAGCAGTCAATGGAAAAAAGTATTAGGGTGTAAAATTAACTTAAAATTAATAATCACATAGAACTGTCAAGTCAAAGTTAAAAAGACATGCATGTTTTTTTTTTTTTTTTTTTTTTTTTTTTTTAATGAATAGAGTTGAACATTATTTCAAACCGTATAACCCCTTGTCCTTATTTAACGAGAAGTTTTTTCAAAAGTATTCGTACTTGTGATAAAAAAAGATCAACAAAACAACAAAAAACTTACCATCAGAGGCAATAGCTTGCTGGGTACTAAATAATAATCCAGCTTTACTAGAGTGTATCACTACGCCGAGAAAAAATAGTTCTAATAATAACTTAAACATTTTCTTCTAGTTTAATTTATTTTCCGAAAGAATGGTCAAGTCTGTATCCGCATGATAACAGAGAGTATTCTACGATGACAATGAAACAAAGTTAGGAAACTAGTGACTTTTATATCTGATTAAATAAATGTCACCGTAAAATAAAAGAAACAAGGACGTCATTATCAGAGATAAAAAAACAACGCTAAATTGTTTATATTTTTTTCTTCGCTCCATAAATTTCTCTGACATGTTTTGGTCCACTAATAAACCTTTTTCACACCTTGGAACATGATGCGACCACCGAATACGGGGTTTAGTCATTTTCCGGGGCACATTCAGAAAATATCATAATATGAAGAAATGAGCTTGATTAATTGTCGTCCGTTCAGGGAATAGGTAAAAAATACGCATTTCTTATAACAGCTGTCATAATGATGCATGCGAACCTTCTATCAACGTTGTTTCACTATTACACTGCATTAAGGCAGCTTCAACACTCGCCCACCTACCTGTTAATTAAGTGTACACTGTTTGTTACATAACATGATCTAGAAGTGCATCACAAAAAGGCTTAACTTAATAAGTACAAATTTCAGGTGGTTTATCTTTATGGACGGATGACCAGCCTAGGCATGACAACTTCATTTCATAACAACAATTACACAAAAGTGATTAGTCAATGTTTCATCCGATGTAATAATAAAGTTTCCGCATTTTCAGAAATATGTAATTTATCTTGATTTTTAATACAAATTCATAAATTCCATAGTTTTAATTGTCTATTTTTAACCAATATACTAAACTTTTAATTTTTTCTGCAAAGTTCCGCGAGCAAAATCTCAAGACTAATTTGACTTAAAGCTTAACAAGTGTTAAATGTCTATTTAAAAAAAAACATTTATTTTTACATGTTTTATTTTGCTAATATTTCTTTAATTGGACGGCAAAGTAATCGCAAAAGACGAAAAACAATAAACCACGAGCACCCAACCCCGTCTTTAACAATTGCGCAATCGTTAAAAGAAAAAAAAGCGGGCGACATTATTAGTACCTTTTTAATCACTTTAATATCTATAAATGTCAAAAATGATGTTGTAAACAATTTCATAACACACACTTTGAAGGATAAACTTTGAGCTAGTCCATCCATCACTCCTCTCAAACTGAACGGACGATAAATTCAGTGAATAGCAGCCCTCTCAAACTGAACGGACGATAAATTCAGTGAAAAGCAGCCCTCTCAAACCGAACGGACGGTAAGTTCAGAGAATATGAGCCCTCTCAAACTGACCGGACGATAAATTCAGTCAATGTGATCCCTCTCAAACTGAACGGACGATAAATTCAGTGAATGTGAGCCCTCTCAAACTGAACGGACGATAAATTAAGTGAAAAGCAGCCCTCTCAAACCGAACGGACGGTAAGTTGATGAATATGAGCCCTCTCAAACTGACCGGACGATAAATTTAGTGAATGTGAGCCCTCTCAAACTGAACGGACGAAAGATTCAGTGGATGTGTGCTAGACTGATGATAATATCAGTAAATATGAGCCCTCTCAAACTGAACGGACGATAAATTCAGTGAAAAGCAGCCCTCTCAAACCGAACGGACGGTAAGTTCAGAGAATATGAGCCCTCTCAAACTGACCGGACGATAAATTCAGTCAATGTGAGCACTCTCAAACTGAACGGACGAAAGATTCAGTGGATGTGTGCTAGACTGATGATAATATCAGTAAATATGAGCCCTCTCAAACCGAACGGACGATAAATTCACAGAATATGAGCCCTCTCAAACCGAACGGACGATAAATTCAGTGAATGTGAGCCCTCTCAAAGTGAACGGACGATAAGTTCAGAAAATATGAGCCCTCTCAAACTGAACGGACGATAAATTCAGTGAATGTGAACCCTCTCAAAGTGAACGGACGATAAATTCAGAGAATATGAGCCCTCTCAAACTGAACGGACGATAAAATCAGAGAATATGAGCCCTCTCAAATTGAACGGACGATAATCGATGTAGTTCATTGTTTTCACTTGAAAGGTACATTACATGTGCTATGAATTCTGTAGCATATGTAGTTGTTATAAACTCTGTATTTTTTGCATTTAATGCGCTACTAATTATGCGCGTGGTTTTCGTAAAAACATTACCACTTTTTTATACATATGAGTTTACATAGTTGCTAATTTTGACATTTGTCGTATTGTACTTACAGTCAATTGCTTGCGTTATTTTGACTTCACAAATAATGACAGACTATAAATTAATATCTACAATGTCACAATAAACGTGAAAAAATCTAAATGCTAGGTGAATAGGCTTGATAGAGGAGTAACCATCATCTTTTATCATCACCACCATCATCATCAAATAAAGTTTGTAGAACTAATGTTTGATATTATCATGTTGCTCAATTAAAAAACAAAACATACACTATAACGGTAATAGGCTTCAAATAGAACAATTTATTATATACATATGTAAGACAAATGGGACAATTTATTATATACATATGTAAGACCACCATCTTAAAATATTACTAACTAGTATGTTATCATTTATAATTTATACAGTAAGTACATTCTTTTTTGTTATGGATTTTTTTCTTCAATTTTAACACTAATGTATTAAGGCATCAAGTTGTTATGAAAACCAGTAATGCAGAAATTTTATCTTTTGTATTTTGTTTATGTATTTTTATTGACCACTTTCGTAATATATATTTTTAACTTACTTTATGTTAAAGTGTTATCACAATCATTTGAATCATTGCTACAGCGCGTGACGAACTGTTGTCATTAAAAACAAACACTATATATATTTTGAGATAATAAAAGTCATAACTATAAACATTACCATTTCTATTTTGACCTATGTGGTTTCTTAACCTGACGAGTAGTGACAGTGTTCGTGTGGCATTTTTATCCGTCTATATTAATAGCTTATTCCATGAAAAGTTGTATTATTGAAAACAAAAAAAACAACTTTTTTTTAACAATATCAGTTTAAAAAGCTATGTATTGTCGTCACAAGATATGTACTTTTATGAAACTATTATTAGCATTAAAAGAGGCATATGTATGCGTTTTTAAGATGCTATGGGTTAATGTGTTCGACTCTCAACCCAGAGGTCATGGGTTCAAGCTCTATACATTGGTCACGGCCATGTTTTCCTTATATGATACCGGCACATGTTAGGCCAGACAGGAAGGGAGTTCGAGAAGATTTCATATACTCTACAAACTTTCTTTACAATCGAGTTAAAAATAGATAAAATCTAAAAAATATAAGACGTTGAATTCTTTCAGTTCATTTTATATTTTTTGTTTACGAGAACTGACTCGAGTTTAAAGAATAATAAAATAAGCTTGTTGTTTTTCATGTTCGGACATTTTAAGTTCATTCTTTGATTGATATGTTTTTACACAAATGCTAATATTTATTTCCTATAACAGCAATGCATAGAAACATCAAATGAAAATGTTTTTGTAAACAATCAACACTGTTACATGTCACATTAAAAATATATAAAAGAAATCTTTGTTCAAAATATGCTGTCAAATGAAAGTCAATCTTAAAGAAAGTAACAATGAAATAATTATGAGACACTAATAAGTTAACCACAGAAAATAGTTATACAATTGTTTAATCTTCGTTTATACTGATATATTTTTTCTGAAAACAATATCATTTTAGAAATTGAATGCACTGAAACAATCGCGAGTGATTGAAAGTTTTCTGAATTAGATCATTCGGCTCTGCTCGCCGTATTTTGACTTGAAGGAAGTGGCCAAAACGAAGAAGGAATTCGTTAGTAGCAGAATATATCTTCATATGAGTTATGGTACTATTAAAAGTAGTATAATTTGCATTTCCTCCAGTTCACATCGAAATGTATAATGTACAAGTATATTCGCTAAGCATGTTGGTGATGATGATGATGATGATGATAATCATCATCATCATCAGCAGCAGCAGCATTATAACCAGTACAAGCTGGGTTGCAAAAATGGCAATATAAAAAGGTATTTAGAGTGACCGTCTTACATAAATCTTGAAAGTGTGACTTTTTTCACTTTTTTCAAAAACAAAACAAAACAAACTGTTAAAGCAAATATTTTGAGCTAATTCATAATCGAGTGTGCCAGGATATATTTTAAGCCATATACCTGGTGCAGTTGGGTGTTTTTACAGTAGATAATAACACGTATTTTATTGTATATATGCCCCTCTTACACATATAATATTACCAGGCTGTCCAGCACCTTCTGACAAAAATTAGGGCAAATTTTAGGGCAATTTTTAAGAAATTTTAGGGCTAAAATTAGGAATTTTAGGGTAAAAAAAAGAAATTTTAGGGCTAAAATTTGGAAGTTCATAACTAAATTATGGCCTCAAAAGACCATGATATGGCCTCAACTTGACATATTTGACGCAAAAGTAACTCACAAATAATGATCTAGTTCAGTTATAGCAAAGGTTACCAGTGTTCCATTAGTCACCAGTGAATAAATGGATTCACTGGTGAACTGCCTTTAAAAAGAGCTGAAAAACTACATTAAAACATAACTAGAATGAAAACATTTTCAAAGTTATAAGTATTTCTGAAGCCCTTAGCCAATAATAAATGGAAGGGGAAATTATGCTTTAAATTTATTTTAGCTATCAATGCATTTCTTATCAACATTTATTCATTTTAAGGTTGGTACATTTTCAACAAGTCTTGATCTTTCTTTAAAAAAAAAACAATAAAAACGATATGACCCACTCAAGTCATTCCCAGGAATATTTAGACTTAAATTCAAACAGCAGGGTATACACCTATGAAGGATTTGTTCAAGATAAATCTGGCAGTCTACTAAAAATTGTAGAAAATTTCACAACAGTGTCAGCTTTTTCAATGATTTTCAACAGTTTTTTTTTCCAGATTTTAAAAACTTACACTATATGTTATGACATATTGTGGCGCCGTTAAATGTCGCAACGCCGCTAAATGTCGCACTTGCCGCTAAAATTTATGTCGCACCATTGCCGCTAAAAGTCGCAACCGCCGCTAAATGTCGAAAAATCATTTGCCGTTAAATGTCGCAATGTTTTTCCCTTACCGTTAAATGTCGCAACACTACCGTTAAATGTCGCAAGATGTAAATTCATGTTAAAATCATGATTAAAGTAGTATTATATTACTTTTTAACATTCTCATAGTTATTTTTATTGTAATTGCCATCTTTGTTTTACTTATTTTCTTTTATGAACCTAAATAT